ACGCCATTACAAACTGTATTAGATTTCAGCATGCATTAATCCAAGTGAAGACTGATAGAATGTATGATAAATATTCTAGATATTATTCTGTATAGAAGGATATAATTTTGTGAATATTCTGTAACACAAATTTTTGTATACGGTCTGCTGTACCGTGTGACAGGGATTACTCGATTAACTCGCTCGATCAGGGGTTACTCGAGTTGTCGGGATTACTCGAGTTTCTCGATCAGGGGTCACTCAAGTTGCCGGGGTTACTCGAGTTACTCGGTCAGGGGTTACTCGAGTTGTCGGGGTTACTCAAGTTACTCGGTCAGGGGTTACTTCAGTTACTTTTGACCGAGTAACCGCACAAGTAACCCCTGACCGAGTAACCCCTCGAGTAATCATGACCGAACCTCTCGAGTAACCCCTGAAGTAAACCCTGACTGAATAACCCCTAACTGAACCCTCAAGTAACCCCTGACCGAACTCCTTAAGTAACTCCTGACCGAATTACTCGAGTAACTAACCCCTGACCGAACTCCTTAAATAACTCCTAACCGAGTAACTCGAGTAACCCCTGAGCGAGTAACTCGAGTAACCCTTCGAGTAACCCCTAACCGAGTAACTCGAGCGAGTAACCCTTGACCGAGTAACTCGAGTAACCCCTCAAGTAACCCTTGACCGAGTGAACCCCTCGAGTAACCCCTGTCCGAACCCCTCAAGTAACCCCTGACCGAGTAACTCGAGTAACCCCCGACTGAATAACTCGGGTAACCCCTAACAAAATAACTCGGGTAACCCCTGCCACACGGTGTGGCCTGCTGCACCAAAAAGTTGTTGATTCTGTAAACATGTTTTGAGATTTCCTAACGTGATTAGGACTCATCTTTGTAACCCTATATATATGAATTATTGGAATACACTCCAATCTGAGGAGTTTTCACAAAATTTAACATGGTATCACAGATTAGGTTTTAGATCCAACCGTAACTTCCGCAATAAAACTTTATTTTTAACTTCTTTCAAGCCCTAGCCGCCGCCTACACTCTTCCCGTCAACCACCCTAGTCGCCGGCCACCATGACAAAAGATGGTGATAATACAAAAAACTATTACTATTTTATGTTTTTACTGAATATTCGATTCTTACACTACACTTGTATGTTGGTAAGACGAGATTGAAGACCACCATGCCACTTTTATTTGCTTCATATTTCAAGTGGAGTGCATTGATTGAGGAATGTTCAATTTGTCCTTCTACTATTGCGTGGGAAGGAGGGGAAGAAGTGCAATGCAATAAAAACATGCAATTGAATAGTATGATTTTTTAGGTACTTCAGTTGGTTAGTTGCTGACTTTATTTATATATATAAATATATATATATATATATATATATATATATATATATATATATATATATATATATATATATATATATATATATATATATATATATATATATATATATATATATATATATATATGAAAGCTCATATAAGAACCCTCCTCTATATAAGAACTCAATCTTATATAAGAACTAATATCAGGCGTTTATTACTTTTGATCTAACCGTCCAAAATTTTTATTGGACGGTTGGTAAAGGGTTTGAGGGAGGATATGTGTTTTAATCTTAACCGTCCAAAGTAACTTAATCCTACAGCTGAGGTTGGTTCCTATATAACTAGGTTTCTTATATAAGGAGGGATTTTTACCGCATCCCTCCCCTATATATATATATATATATAAGGTAAGGTCAATTAGACCCCAACCGAAGGCTCCTATCACAGAAAATCTAGCTGAAAATGCCCTAAATGAATAGGGGGTGGGATTTATTGTTGGTGAGGATTGAACCTCGCACCTTGAGGATGCGAGGCATCATCTCTCGGTTGCTGACTTATATACATTACACATATGTAAGATATTACTATATTATATAAGAAAAGTCAAAATGCTTGATAGTTAAAAAGGGATTAAGGCAAGAATCAACTAATAGTCTAATCATAAAGTACTTTCGTGTGCTCGAATTATGTATTAACATGTGTCACGTAGTTCGCAATTTGATCAAAAAATAAACATGCTAGATTTTTTTTATGATCATTCAGATACTAGCTAAGCACGTAGCTAGCTCCATATTAATTGGACCATTTTAATTAAGACCATCTATATATTCCCGTCTACATTCTCCGAGTTCTTACCTTCTTGGTTGGCAAAGGTGATTAAGTTGTATCTATTTTGTCGTGAAAGCCAAATTGTTACAAATAATATCATTCTTATCTTACTTAGGAAAATTAGTTATAACTCGTATACAATTATAGAAATTAATTTAATGTATTGATAGAAGGTCAATTAAATAAATAAATAAAATAAAATAAAATTCTCAAAGATACAATTGTTGAACATTTTTCGCATCCTTTTTGGTACGTTATAATTAATTAGTTAGGTTAATTTGGTACGTCCAATCAATCAGTTAGAGCACTCAGAGTGTTAATAAGTGAGTTATCTGGATTGATACCAAGTAAATGATAGTAATGTACTACATACGCAAGATTAAATGAAAAAGTACTTAGTCAAAACCTCCATAAACATGGGTGTAACAAATTCATTGCGCAAAAATTGCGTAAAACTCTATTCTTCTTCAAGGTTTATCTTGTCTCTGATCTCTCTCAATCAACAACCATAGCAATCAGCTATTAATTCATTAAATTAACTAGTAATTGCATTGTAAGTTACTACGGAGTACAGGAGTAGTAAACTAGTCCTAATAGCTTACTTCTCTGACCATACCTCAAACCTCACGGTTTTTTTGGTCCGATATTTGCGGGTCAGACACTCAGTGAAGGGGGGAAGGGTAAGGGATCCCTACCCTCAAAGTGACTCTAATGAGAATTGAACTCCCAGCCTCAAGGTTGGAAGGTATAATCCTTACCACTATTTAATAATCAAAAGAAGTCACTTTATTTATAGCTTGTTCATGGTTCTATGATTTCATATATTAACCGTGTTCGTGCCTTCAATTTGGTACAAACTTTTGTGGACATAATGTGCTTGAACTTGGCATATTATTCAATGTACAAGTATGTTAATACTTGTTTGGACAGCCCTTACTTTAAGCTCATTGAACGGAATATAAGAGTCTTAGTAAGCTCGTATGGCTATGTCTATATTTCATGGAGCGTGACATCTAAATGGTTCTAAGACATAAGCAAGGTTCACTTAATGTAAGGGTAGGTGTAGCTTGGGTTGCGATCTTCTTAGTGGGTGGTAGTCATACTGATTATTACTTATTAGGCATCCTCATAAACCATGCCTATTAAAAATTAATGGGAATACCGAAAATGTGACAAGAATTGAAGCTAAAGAAATTACACAACGGAAAATATATAAGCAACTTTCAAATATTGTGGAAAATAGAAATTTCTAAAAAAGTTTCATAGCCACCCTATGTTCATGTGAACCAAATTAACTCCTCGAGTATTCATTTTCTATGAAAGAACATTGTATATTCTATATATATATGGATGTAAGACAAACAAGTCACTTCTGAGTTAAATAAAAATTCCCCTGCAAAATGTTTGCATCCACCCTGATAATGATACGTAGTTTCCCTACTAGCTGTACGGTGGCTGGGCCATAATGAGTAAGAATGTTATTGTCTTAAATATTAGTAGTTGATTGTAACTAGCTTAGTAAGGTGGTTCGAATTTCCCTTGGTAACTAATTGGGTTTCTATGAATACCAGTACTAAGTTACTAACTATTGATACATGCCAATTGCCACTTGCCCATTTTGCATATTTCATGTTGGACCACCAACCGGCCAGTCAACCATTGTTATGTTGAGACCGCTGAGACGTTATTGATAGAGTCTTATACTCATGCTCTATGAATTTGAAAGAATTTAAACTTCGTAAAAGTTAGAAAAGTGGTTTATACGATTCCAAACAACTTTTTATATGATTTCAAACAACTTTTTATGATATCAGGATACATCTCTCACCATCATATCATTATGACACCGTATCGGCTCCCAAAATCATTGCGATTATGTATTGCAGCCTTCATTTTGAAGAATTTTCGAATTTTAGATGCGAAAAGGAAAGGAGCCAAAATGTTTCTCATGGACCTCACAAACCTTCGAATACCAATTGTATGGTTGGAACTGCTCACTTTGCCTCTTAACTATTTACTAATCTAGCTTGTTATCAAAACGTCTCCCCTCATTAGCTCATTGTCACAATGGGCCTTTATATATCCGACAAAGGATGTATATAATGTCAAACATGTGAAACAACTTTTTATGACCCTTAGATGCATCCCAAACCATTACTTGATTTTTCAACACCCGATCTCGAAATCTCTAAAAAAAAAGATCCAAGCGTGGATAATAGTCTTCATTTTCACAAAATTTTCAAGTTTTTAGACCCCGAGAAGAAAAGAGGTCGACGTGATTTTCATGGACCCAACGATAATCAAAGAGGCCACCTGAGTGGTTGGAACCTTCCTTCAATAACTCATGCTCCAATGGGCCTTTTTATGCCCGAATAGGGATGTACATTTTTTTTTTTTTTTTTTTTTTTTTTTTGAAAGCAACAAGGATGTACATTATTTCAAACAACCTTTTGTGAGTCTCATGTGCATACTTTACCATTACTTGATTTTTCAATATTAGGTCCCCAAATCTCTGAAAATGGTCCAAAGTATGAATGATCTGAGAAAGGAACAAAATAGACAACAAGCTTGGCCTCATTATTCCACAATCCACAATAATTCTTTGTGCATCATAAAGGGTTTATGCCCTAGAACGTACTTGAATAAGTTACGCTGAATTACTGGTATCCACAGCCGTGCGACGATGCAACTAATAGAGAGTCTACTCAATGAAAATTCAGACTATGATCCACGGCCGTGCAATTGGCCTGGTGTGAAAAATTCAGACTGCGATCCACAGTCTGTGCGACTAAAATAGTCTATTCACTAAAAAATTCATTATGTGATGTATGGTCGTGCACAATTCAATTTTGAATTCTTTGTTTATGTCTAATGTCTTATTGAGGATATTTACATCCCAAAATACATCACTAATAGTTAAATGGTCTAGATATTGAGGGCTTGAGGCTTAGAATATATTACTGGGGTACCTATTGAGGCTGAGGTCAAAGAGAATACCTCACTAAAACTTCTCTATACTCTGTAGTTTACTTAATTACAGCAAGCCCTTTCTGTATATCATAGACCTCGAGCTGGTTCCTACAAATCTTTCAATAACAAAAACGTAATCATTTATTTCATGGAGAATTCACCAACAATCGTTACAAGAACACGATCCATCCTCAAAATGATGGAAGCGCTTCCTATCTCTGACAACAATCTTCCGGCTGTACAATTTTGATATCAGTTTAATTGATGAATGACAATCTTCACATATTCGAAGATTCTTAACCACCCGAAGTGGTGTTTTAGGACTGGTGCTGATTAACCCATACGCAACAGCAATCTTTTCACTATGATGGTACAAGGCAGTTTGTTTTGCTTCTTCATCCACATTTAGGAAAACTTGTGTGGTATTTGGCTGATAACCTATGGACTGTAATTTGTTAGAAATCTCCTCCAACATCAAATGGATCTCCTTCGCACATGGATGTGAGTCATCTTCTACGAGAAACTCGTGGATTACTCCATCAAGCTCAATCCAGCTGCATCCAGGATCTTTTCTTACATCTCTATCTTTCATTAACAACCTAACATGAGCAACACCATCCCAGTCCCCTAAAGATGCATACATATTTGATAGAGCAACATACGATCCACTATCATCAGGAGCGATCTCCATTAGATGCTTAGCTACTCGTCTTCCCATTTCGATGTCCCCATGCATCTTACACGCACCCAACAGGGCCTTCCAAATGACAGCATCAGGTTTCATGGGCATGTCACATATAAAATTCTCAGCCTCTTTTAAGAGTCCATTACGACCTAGGAGATCAACCATGCAACCATAGTGTTCAATCCTAGGCTTGAACCCGGCTACTCTTATCATATGATCAAAGAACATCTTGCCTTCATTCACCTTTCCCCCATGGCTACATGCAGTCAAAACACCAATGTAGGTAACATCACTAGGTTTTATCCCCATACCTAGCATCATTGAGAAATAGTGAATAGACTCGGTTGCACGACCATGGATAGCAAGTCCATTGATAACAGCATTCCATGTTATAGTACTCTTTTTCGGAAGGCTTTCAAAGACCTGAAGTGCCTTGTCAACACTACCACACTTAGAATACATATCAATCAGTGCAGAGCCAAGCACATCACCAATCTCAAATCCACTTCTCTCGGCATACAAATGAATCCATTTGCCTAACTCAAGGGCACCCAAATGGGAAATCGCCGGAAGGATACTAACCAATGTTACATAATTCGGTTTAACATTCTCATCCACCATCTGCATCTCTCTAAAAACCCCAATAGCATCCCTAAACCAACCGCGCTGAGCATAGCCAGCAATCATCCCATTCCACGAAACCACACTTCGCCGAGGCATTTTATCAAACAGTTGGCGTGCAGCTTCCATATCCCCAAGTTTAATATACCCATCAACCATCACATTCCACAAAACTACATCACCTTCTTGCCTCCTCTTACTAACACCATTATTATCCAAAAACTTATTACTATTAACACTATAATCATCAAGCAAACCCCTATTAAAAAACAATAATTGAGCATCATCCATAATACCACACATGACATACATCCTCAAAAGATTGCTAACAACAAATTCATCATCTTCTAATCCCAATTTTATCAACTGGGCATGAACTTGTTTACCTACAATCAAATTTCTGAGTTTGCCACAGGCTTTAAGCACAGAAGGGAAAGTGAACTTGTTAGGAGAGAGAGAATCATCACGCAACATAAGGGTAAATATAGACAAAGCTTCAATTGGGTTATCTTGTAAATCAACAATAGCTCTAATAATGGTGTTGTATGAAAAGGGGTTGGGATGGTTCATACGGTAGAACAGAAGACGAGCATAGTCGAGATTTTTAAGCGCGAAAGCGGAACACCTAAGGAGTTCAGCAGAAATGAGAGGGTCATGAATTTGGGAAGTTTTGATAAGTTTGGCATGGATTTGTTTAAAGTGTTTGATAGCTTTGCAGTTTGAGATTTCTGGGAAATTTGGGGGAGGAGAGAGAGTGAGATTGGTAGGAGGTGGTTTGAAGGTGTTGGTGTTCATACTGCAGTAGCTGAAATTTGGTGGTTCACAGTAAACCTGTAGTAATCTGTTCTGACTTGAGACTCTTAGTCCCCCTTCTACTCGTATTTTTTCAAATTGGGCTATAATTGGATTTTATATCATGCACCCTTGGAGTAGTCGAGCAGTTGACAGCCCCGTGGAGTGGAGGCGGAGGCGGAGGCAGCAGGGGCACCAACATTCAGAAGGGTTGTATGTGTGACGGATTGTTTCAATTTATGGGATGTACGACTACGTAGACCTTTCAAGGTTTAATCTCGTGGTCATCTCATGAACTAAAGCCGTTATCAGATAAAGGCTTTGGAAAGTCCAAAGCTTTTCTGTTTTTATGTGCCTTCCCATGCCTAAAAGGGCTAAATCCCAACCTCTATAATCACAGGCCAGTCATCATCAAATAGCATAAGAGAGAATTAACAAGGTGTTGAAATTAAAGCCTTTGCTAATATGATATAACAATAACACAATAAAATGGTTCTAACATTTCCGAGAGGTCTGACTTTTTGCCAGAAAAATATTGTTAAAAAAAACTTGATACATGTCATGACCAAAAATATTGTTAAAAAAAACTTATACCGAGAGGTCTGCTATAAGTTCCTTAAACATGTATTTCACAAGTTTACAAGCTCATTAAGCTCTAACATATTAATGACTAAGAGATAGACATTAATTTTCCTGTAAGTATACATATCCTTGACGATGAGATGCAAATGCCGCTTCAAGAGCCCTTCTGGTCACAGGCATTAGGGCCTCAAAAATCACTTGCGACCAAGACCTTGGTAGCTGGCAGCATCCTATATCACTGAATTGCATTCTTCATCACCAATATCTAGCCTGCCTTTTCTGTTAAATACAACTTTAACTAACCTTCATTAGACAAATATGGAAAAATCTTCTCTTCAAAAAAATTTCTTTTACATAAGAAATGAAAACAACCTAAGCTTGCTCTTCACAAGGATTCTCCACAACAAATAGGTCATTTCTTGCCGAAAGGAAGCCTATTAATTCAATTCTATTCAAGATTAAGGTGATGCACAAAGACAAATCCTTAATAGTAAAGCACAACTTATATCATTCATATGCCCAAACTAGGACTAAACAATAGGAAATGAGCAATCATTCTGCAGTGGTAGGGCTGATCCTCGCATTTATAAGCACGGGACATTAGTGAGCACATTATCTTCAATTTAGAAGGCACATTGGAAACGTAGGCAGGTTGACTAGACTTTAGACTAAGGTTGCCATTTCTGGAAAGAGTTTGCATGACGGAAAACCAAAGTTCATAATTTTTGTGTAACACTAAAAAATGATCTCAAGAGAACATTCCAAGAAGTCTGCACTGACTTCCAAAAGTGATAATATTAGAAACGACATGTTCAAGTATAGGACTCTATGAAACTTCTTTGATATCAGTCCTTAATAAACGTGTCCTTTCTAATATTTTGGAGGCCTTGTACCTATTAATAAATATAAAGTCCTTTAAAACTGAGTGAATGTGTAATTAACAGAAACAAAATGTATAGCATTACAATAACAAACAAAAAAAAAGTGACTTGAGTTTTTTATGCCCTACAAAGTACAAGTTTAACAGTGCCACCGGTCCATTAAAAATTTAGCTCCTCTAAAGACAGAAAAGCACTTGTGGTGAGGGGGCAGGGGAATTTTATTTAAAAATTGAATAAAAATATATAATTTCTAGAAATTATAAGGTCCCTAATTTCAAGGGGGGCCTGCGCAATCACACAGATGGCACACCCTAAGAGTTGGCCCCAAGATAAACAACATCACAGTATCACACAACAAAAAGGATCGAGTCAAAAGTAAACTAGAACATGGTACATTATGACTTTTCACAGAGGAAAATAAGACAGCGGACAATATGAACTAAGGAGCTTTAAGCTTGTTGAATAGGATAAACTGTAAAGGTAGTTTACCTATATGGTGCATACCACAAAAGCTCCAAATAATATGTTGGTGAGGCCACAAACTATAGAATCATATAGAAAGCTCTTGAAATAAGGAAAATGTGAAATGCTAGAGTGGCGATCATCCTTCATCAAATTTTCTTTCTTTTGAGGGAATCCTTCATCATTTAATAGTTAGCGACCTGTTTTAGATGAAAAATGACTCAGGAACATAATGCATATATAAATATTACTGTTATACAAATGTACAGCAGAAATCATTGCTCGAGCACTTTACATAGTCATAATAACTATCTTACTATCTTCTACCTCTATTTCTTGGTATATTTAGTTAGCTGGTCATGACCTCAGCATATACTCAGGATCTTCAATTGAAGTTAGTCACGACCAGCTTATTCAGTTGGCTGATCATGCCCTCAGCAAAGGAAAGGAAGGTAATAAATTGAGACTGCACTCGTGTAAATCATTTTGTGGTAACTCAGATGCTCATATGACAACCCTTTGAAAAACAGAATTTAGCATCTCATAAGGACTTCCATGCAATTCCCATCCCATCAACTGCTCTAGCACAATGCAATACAAAATTCTTAACCCATGGCTGGTAGATATTTAACACATCCTCATCTCATTATCACACTTCACTTGTGAGAGTAATTTTCCAATCCATGTCTCACAAGTGGAGTGTGAAAAGGAGAGAAAATTAATTGCCCCACATTGCTTGTCTAATCCTAATACGGAAACTAAAGCTCACTTTTGTATCAGATCTTATTGTGCGATTGCGATATACAAGCATTACAGCCATCAACAGCAGGGAAGCAACCATAAATAGTAATCATCTATGAAGCACCCACTTGTTTTTAATTGAAAAGGACAGGAATAGAAAACAAGAGGCAAACTACAAAACTATAAAGAAAAGTAGATGCTAAGGGATATGAAGTGATTTTGTTCTCTTCACCTTATTTTAGAAACTTGTTAATTTTATTATAGCAGACCAAATCTTATTTCCAAACACTTAGAACCAAATATCTATGATTACGTATTACTAAAAATTTATGGGGTTTTTTTATATTATTATTACATGTGGAGACTGATCTACCAAGATGCCACAAAATAATGTTTTTCCTCGTAGGCTCGTTCATACAAAATGTCCTTACAAAAGTCGATCTAATAATGTTTTTCTCATTGACACACCTTGAAATATTCTTGTCATTTTCTTAAGATATGGCCCATGAAAAAAATGAGTCTTTCATTCTAGAAGACAATAATAAATTCAAGCACAGGCACAAGATTAAGTAATGCAACCATAAAACACCACATTGAATTTTAGATAGCAAACAATTATACCTGAATTTTTGCTAGCTCTCCTTTGTGGTTCTTTTAAATTTCCGTTTACCATCAATTTATGTTTCTTGCACACACCATTGCTACTTATACTCAGTTTTACATCTTTTCTTTTCTTCGCTACAATGTCATTATTTATGGAACGGTTGCTTCTCCTCCTTTCTTCAGTGCATCTTCCATTCGACACGAACCCACCATCTTGTTTAGTCGGAGTATTGGCAGTTCTCCTTCCTACATCTCTTTCTACTCCATTACTCGTAACCCTATCCTTATCACCCGATGTATGACTACCATTTCTCCCATCTTCTCCACTCCTTTTCCTCAGGCTGCCAATTAGCATATAATTAATAAGCATTATTTTGTTCTCTTCATTTTTCCCTTATTTGTACCCATATCATACGCCAACAACAGTTAACATGATGACAACACAAATAAAACTAACCAATATTTACTTCCCTAGTTCTCTCACACAATCAACATATGGGATCATTAAAAGTATAACTATTCCAAAATTAATTTCCTTGTACACTAATAATATATCAACATAAATGTAAATACCCATCAATTAGCATATAATTTCCTTTCCAATCAAACTTTTCTACACCCACATAACTAAATTTATGGGATAATTTTAATTTTCGAAATTACTGTACTAGTACAATAACTCACTAAATAAGTAAATATCCAAAACAAACATATATCCAAAAAAAAAAACACTCATTAATTTAATATCTCAGAAATCATAAAATTGACAGCTAGCCCAAAATTAAAAACCCCATCCATTAATCAATCTTACTATCTTAGTACATAAAACAACCCAGAAATTAAATACAACTACTGAAGAATTCAATAGGGAGGAGAGAGAAAGCAGCAAACCCAGAAGAAGGAGATGCATGATGCTCCAATGGCGGGACCCACAAATTACCCCGAACCCACTCACGATGCAAGCGAAGATCGGAGGAGAAGAAATCGATCTGCTCACGAGAACAACGGAAGAAAACAGAGTAACAATTAGAAGGTTCTAGAATTCGAGTAACAACACCTTCCCACCAACCATCGTTATGGAAGGCGTCAACATCATCCATGAGAGAGTAAATGCGATGAGGTTCACGAGGAGGAATAGGGCGAACAAGAATGGCGTCAACGAACTCACAGAGATGCTTGGAACCAGCGTCGTCTTCCATGAGGTTGTGGTACTCAACGAAGATTTTGCGGGATTTGCGAGAAATAGTGCGGAGAACAGTAGCAGTGTACCAGGAACCTCGGAGACCTTCGTCTTCAGAACTGACTTCAACTATGGTGCCTTTCTTGAAGATTTCTTCGTATTCGGATTCAGGTTCCGCCATTGATGAATGCTTCAAGTTAGGAGAGAGAAAATAAGAGTGACGATTCAAGTGATGTTAGAAAGGAAGAAAGAGAAGGAAGGGGTACTTGTTTGGGGGTTGTATTAAAAAGGCTTTTTTTAAAACTTTTTTTTCTTTTTTTTGCGTAAAGGAATGGGAAAAATAGTTTTTTTTTCTTTTCGAGACTTTTTAAAATTTTGGTCTTTTGGAGACTAAAGTTTGATACAATATTTTTGTTTTTGTTTTTCATTCCCTATATTTTGGGAAATATTTTGAAAAATCTTTATACTACTCCCATATATATTATGACATAAACCTCTCACCAAAAATAAAATTAAATAAAAAAAAAAACTTATAAGTATCTCGTAATTTGTTATATTTCACTTGAATCGTCACTCTTATTTTCTCTCTTGAATCGTCACTTTTACTCAAAGTGTAATATTAATAAAACACAGTGGGAGTATATTAAAACTAAAATAATGCATTTTCATATTTCATATAAAGAGTTTGGAAGGGAGAGGAAAGGATGAGTTCGTGATTGTATTGATTGTTTTCTCAAAAGAAATTAAGTTAGATAGAATATGAAATAAATAACGTTGAATGTGTATAATGAATTAGCCTCAAGATTAACAAATACAATATTAAGTTCTCCGCATATAAATTAGAAAAGAAAAATTAAAGAAAAGTGTGACATTAATGGTTTGAGTTTTTACTAACACTTTATTTTTCAAAATGAGTGACTCTAAGCACTTGTTCTCTTCACCTTATAAAAATAAGTTTTAGGTTTGATAAATTCAGATCAGCTCAGATAAGTTTAGATAAGTTACAATAAAATTCAATAAATTTAAAAAGGTCTGATAAGTTCAATAAGATCTAATAAGTTCCAATAAATTCTAATCAAGTATAACAAGGCCTAATAAGATCCAATAAGTTTTAATAAGTCCAATAAGGTCTAATAAGTTTAATAAGGTTTAATAACTTCAGATAAGTTATTTAAGTTTAGTTGTCTTGCCCACCGAGAATATTTAGTTTTCTAATAGAAAGAAGTTGTATGGTCCTACCTCTAATGTTCTAATGTGTAATCTACTTTATGATTAATACGGAGACTTTTGGTTGTTGTCTAATTCTCATACTATTCCATTCCAACTTTTATAACCAAATTGGCTTCTTATATCAATATATGATTACCCAATACATAATAAGAAAAGAATATCATATTAATATCAAAAAAAAAAAATTAATTAGCGAATAAAACTCAGCTTAGTTCAAACATAAATCTCATCTGTTCCTATCAAAATCCGAATTTAATAATAAAAAAAAATAAAAAAATAAAAAAATAAAAAAAATCCCTTCTTCTTTGCATTATATGATTTTTTTTTTCCCCACGTTTACACAATTATGTAGTCATGTGAATAAGTAATGCCTTCCCATCTTTCTTTGCCAAGGTACTTAAGATTATAAGAATAGGCCTTCAACCACCAGGTTCATGCAATGCAACCTAGGATGCTCAATTTAAGCAGTAACAATAGAACTTTGTCTAGGACAAACAGGTATAATAGATGATCCTGTAGACAGCAGTCACAGCACTACAAACAGCAAATTCTGACTGCGATATTGCAGCAGCATATAGAGCAATTCTAACATTGGCCACCTCAAGTTTGCCAAGACAGATGAAACCCTCTCCTTTTTCTTTTTCCTGTCTTTCACTACTTCCTAGACCTACTCAGATTCTAGCACTACAAGCTAGACCCGCTAATGCTCTGTACACACAAGAGTTACAAAGATGTATACAAGCGAACAATGTTTACCAAAGTGAGGTAGTTACTTTCTCAAACTCCTCTTCAGCGTTTGCAAGGGCACCCTTGACAGCATCCACACTCGTCTGCAGCAATGCAATCTCAGCATCCTTTCTCTCTTTCTTTGAAACTACTAAGGCCCGTTTCTCCTTTAGTTCTGCAATCTTCTTATCAAACTCTGCAACCTCCTCGTTGATTTGTGACTTCTCAAAATTACGCTCCATGATCTGACTCTCAATCTCTTTAGACGTATTTTGAGCATGCTCGTACTTGCCTTTTATGGTTATCATCTTGTTTAATTGCTCTCTCACCGGTGCTACATTAAACCCTAGTTCTTCCAAGTCAACAAGAGCTTCCAGATACCCATCCAAGAGGCTTTTGGGTTCACTAAAAAGAGACTTTGAAATTCTCTCCACTAAACTGGTGAAAGTTACCATACTGCCTATGGCTAATCCTTCACGACATTCTTCCTTGCAATTATACAAAGGGAGGAAATGCGGCTTTTGAGGAATTCGCTTCAAAACTTCCATGTTCTCTATCATCTCCCAGATAAGGGAATTCTTTACAAAGGGCAAGTCTCGACTTTCCACAGGCACAATTGCAGTGGATTGTGATTGTATTGGCATTTCGAAATTCTTGTATTGCTCTTGGCTGACATTTTCAGCTGAAGTGCACCTATTATCTTGTTCATTCTCTTCACGGAGACCAACAGGTGTTGTCTTCAATTCTTCTCCTCTATCTCCACTCTCACCAGATTCATTAGCAGTCCCACCCGGAGGGATTCCTGCAAATTTTAATTAAAAGTTTTAGCAATAATCAAACAGAGGATATAAGCATGTAAATGCAGCATCTTACTTGCATCAGTTGTGGGAGAATGTGCTCCTTCAAACCAGGCTGATAATGGCCTATCATCATCAGAAGCATTGCTGGAGGTTCCAGCAACAGCTTTGTCAGACTCTCTAGGTACATTGTTATAAACCTCAATTGCTTTGATTCCTGAATTATCTACAACATCTGCCAAATCCACACAAAAAACACATCCAACAAAGCATGAGAAAAAGATCACCTAAATTTAAGCAAGTTGCAAGTCAGAGGATAAAAATAGGGTTTTCATTTTCAAGACCGCACAGATCCAATCACTAAAATACTCCAGTATTAGAAATAAATTGACAACTGCAAAGGTCCCAAAACTCCTTCAAAGGCTCAAAGCTACATAAATCATTTACAGTCGTTAAATGAACCATCTCCTTTGATAGGGTGAGAAGTGAAAAATGCCCACAAAGCTGACTTCATGTAGCCTTTACAGGTTTCTTTTAACAAGCCATGTGGTGCAACAAAGCACTAAAAAGCCCAACAACCATAAGCACACGCCGCCCCCACCCCCCCCCCCCCCAAAAAAAAAAAAGAAAAAAAAGAAGTCAAACCTAACTTTTTACCCGTATAAAGATGCGTAATACCTTCTCTTTGAGGATCAACCAGTTTGGTTGGTTTCTGTTTCCTTCCTTTCCTCAATACAGTCCTCAAAGCAACAGGTTTGACAGGTTCATCTGAATCCACCATGATTGATTCTGTTGGGACTTTCCTTTGTTTTCTCCCTTGCTTTTTTAAAGTACTTCTAGTACTCAGCCTACGTATGTCACTTAGTAACTTAATTTGATCTGTAAATTTCCTCACGCTTTTATCATGAAAATCAGTAGGTGCAGAGTCGCTATTCCCAGAAGGGTCAACAATAGTAACAAGCTTCTCAACTTCATTTGTTGGAAAGTGTCTTTCATCGTCATCTTTGGCATCAGAAGCTTCATCTTTCTTCTCCTCTTCCACAAATTTTGGCACTGCACGTGGTTAATATACACCCAATAAGAGAAATACAAAAATAGTAAGAATTTCAACCCACAGTTCAATATAATAAATTGCATGATTAATGTATACTTGCATATAAAAATACCTGCTTCTTTAGTCTGTGGACTACCAAGCCGAAACAGCACTTTAGGTGGCCGGCCTCTCTTCCTCTTCTGATTGGTGACTTCACCTTCTTTCTGTTGCTCACTCCCCTAACAGAAAAGAAAGATATCCTTCTTTATTAGGATTCCTAAATGAGAGAAAGAAGACATTCCTCCAGGAAACTCGAGGAGGTTCGAGAAAGATTGATAAAACAATAGAGTTTTCAATATATATATATATAGGATATTTTTTATTTTAACACCTGACAAAAACCCGAAAATGGTTTTTAACACCCCAAAAAAAAAATGTATTTTAACACCAGACAAAAACTACAAAAATGGTTTTTACCACCACTTAACGGTCTCCGTCCAAAAATTCCGTTAAGTGGGGTCCACAGCGACACGTGTCACATTTTACTTGTTTTTAAAAAATAAAAATTAAAAAAATTCCTAAAACTACCCATCCACCCCAGCCCCACCACCTTCTTCTCCTCCCTCACCTAGCTGCCCCCACCCCTTCTCTGCCGACGATAGCAGCCCCCCATCCCTTCTCTGCCGACGATAACAGCCTCCCACCCCTTCCCCGTCGACGAACAGCAGCCCCCTACCCCTGTCGATGAACAGTTACCTCCCATTCCTCCTTCCTCGAAATTTCTATGGCGGTCCAGTGAGGGGGAGTTCAGGTGAGAAGGGGTGGATTTAGTGTTCAGTATAGGGTCGGCTTGGGTTTCAGGATCCGGTGAAGTTTGGGTGTTCGAAGGTGAGGTTGGGTATCGGGTTAGTGGTTAGGTGGGGTTGGCTGTTTCCGATTCAAGGGTGGTGGGGTTGGCCGTTTCCGCAACCTTCCTTCCCCAAAAACAGCGACGAATTCGGCCATTAATGGCTGAAATCGGCCGGTTTTGGGGCTGAGTGGCCTTAACCGACCGATTTCGGCCATCAATGGCCGAATTCGTGGCCGTTCTTGGAGCAACAGCCATAAAATCAGAGCAAATCGAAAATCAGAGCAAATCGAAAATTGTGGCTGGTGATGGCGGTGGTGGGGCTAGGGTGGTTTAGGGCTGTGGGAAAAGGGTGGGGATGGGTTTAGGTCGGTCGGTGAGGGAGGGGGAGGTGGTGCGGCGGTGGCTGCGTCAGCGGCTGTGGGTCAAGGTGAAGAAGAAGGTGGCAGTGGTGGGGGTAGGGTGGCTGTGTAGTTTTAGGTTTTTTTTATTTTATTTTTTTTATATTTTTTTTTTCTTTTTTGGCCAATAATAAAGCGACACGTGGCTCATGACCCCACTTAACGGATTCCTTAACGGAATCAGTTAAGTGGTGGTAAAAACCATTTTTGTAGTTTTTGTCTGGTGTTAAAATACATTTTTTTTTTTTGGGGTGTTAAAAACAATTTTCGGGTTTTTGTCAGTTGTTAAAATAAAAAATATCCATATATATATATATATATATATATATATATATATATATATATATATATATATATATATATATATATATATATATATATATATATATATAGGGTTGGGATCCGATGAGAAGTTTCTTAAAATGAGAAGAATGAAAAGGAAGAAATGTGCAAAAGTTTTTCACTAAATGTGCATATTATTTATTTTCACTAACTGTGCAAAATTGATTTTCGAACTAATAAAAATTTTGAATTTTCTGAAAATCAGAAAATGTGCACATTATGTTCAAAATTTATGCACATTGAATTTATGTCAAATTTTTATTTGCACATTTAGTTCGAAAAATATGCACATTCAGTCCAAAAATTATGCACATAAAATCCTTCTCATTTTAAGGAACTTCTCATTTGATCCTATATATATATAAACTAGAGGTAATCAGCTACTTGGAAAAAAGAAAATTTGGGGAAAGAAAGAAATGTTTCATTGTGAACAAATGGAATGAAAGTGTTGTCTATTTACATTGCTTACTACGCTTTCATGATCTGCTGAAGAATCCACGTTTTTCTCTTCATCATCTACAGCCTTTTTATGCCCCAATATCAATTGCTGACTTGAACTTTCACCTAGTGTGTCAATCATCTTGCCATTATGCGTCAGCCCTATGACTATAGGTCCAAATGGTTTCATCACGTCACTTGTATTTGGGGTTTGGTCGATAGTATCTCCAACAGCATCCCCTAAATAATATGAAAGTTATGCTCAATCGACAATTTCCATCAAAAGAGATGCTGAAATTTTTATAAAAATATATTAAATACCTGACAGTAAAGGTCGTACTCTTGGTCTTCCTCTCTTTCTCAAGGCAGATTGTTTCTCATGGTCCACCTAATTAGGAAAATCAAACTGTTAAGGATCAATCTATACATCAAGTAATGAGTTAATGACAAATGGAAGGCAATTAAGTATACCAACCACATAACAAAAATTTGAGAGAAGGAAAAGCAAAAGAAAGAAGAAGCATTCAGAATTCAGCGTTATTGAACCTTCTACACACAAGTCATCCTTTAGCATGAATAGTAAATCTTGAAAAAAATGTAGGAAATTATCATTTACATTCCACTTTTTACAAAAAGTTTGTTTTAAACTACCTCACAAAGCAATCTATTTGATTAATACTACAGTGGAAAGAATTTTACTCGCTCTACACTGAATATGATAACTCAAAACTTTTAGCCATTAGGGGTTTAGGGTAGTATATGGCAATACATCGGGGTGTTATTAGCATGCAATATTACAATGGAGCATGTTAATGGAAAAGTGATACTAGCATCTGGAGCAATAGAAAGCCCTCAGCATTTTTGGTTGAGTGTTATTGATCCTAGGCAATACCTTTCATCATGGGGCATACCCCTTACCCTACACTTGCCATATGTGGGTCAATTCCTTAATCACACTCATAGATATGGCTTAATCCTTCAGCCTTCAATGCCTTTAGAGCATTCCGCTAATTTTATTTAGGTGGTAGGCATCACAGAAGTAGGGCTTACCTTGAGGCTGTTCAAGGCTAAATCATGGTGGAAGAAATGGAGCTCGCGCGAACATGCTTGAAGGTAACTGGAAGTCCGTTTTGGGGCCTGCTTAAAAAAATTCGCCCAAACCACCACAGAGGCTCGAGTGAACCTGACTTGATTCACTCAGAACCTGGGGATTGTTCACTCGAGTTATGCTCTATCGAGTGACATGGAAACTTCTTGTCTGTTTGAGTGTTTTTATGCCTTGCACTATGCATACTCGTGTTAGTCATCGTACTAGGGTAAAAGGAAGAGATGTAGAATGTTTAGGAAGAGAAAGAGAGCCTCGATTGTAATAGCCTAAGCACTTAGGTCTTAACTCTTAAGTGTGAGAGAGAGTTGTATTGAGGTGGGAGCTTTAATGGTGTAATTGAAGCTTGTAAGTTCCATTATTCTTTATCAAAGTATTACTTTATACTGGATTGGTGGATTTCTCCCAGTTCTCAAGTTTCCCACGGTTAATTTCTCCTTGTTTTCATCATACTTGGTTTGTTTGCCTAATTGTCTTTGTTGTTGAATGTGTGTAATCACAAAGTAGTTAGCATTTCTCTCCTCCTTTCGGAAGCTGCTTAAAGCATATATTCTTTTCTTTTTCTGACTAATCTGTATTCATTAGGCAACCATCTTCTCTTTTGTACCGAACTCTGGCCACAACCATGAAGAAAATTATTTTCTGGGTCTCTTTGATATGGCTCACTCCATTTGGCTTCCACTGATGTTATGGTCAATATTAGATCAGCATTACTAAGTTACTAACTATAGCTTTTTGCAGAAGGATCAGCTCTTTTTTGCAAGTGAAAAGGAAACTAAAGAATATAGTTCTATAGTATTGTTAATTGACAAACTGTCCAACAAAGCAATTCTTGGGAAGCTAAACGAGAAATTTTTTGTAAAAGTGGTATACAGAAGAACGTAATTATTCAAAAATAAATATATAAAGGAAAATTTGAAAAAAATAATCCCACCTTTGCTCGATGTGCACAAACCGAGCCCACCTTTGCATTATCTGGGAACAATCTCACCTTTGCCCCCATTTTCTCAAAATGGATCTTTTTACCCACAACCTATTTAACAGGTTTTTTTTTTTATTTTTTTTTTAATTTTTCCCTTAATCTCTCTCCTCCCACCCTTTTCCCACCAAACCACAGCACAACCGCTTCCCCGGCAACCCCTCCCCCAGCCGCCTTCCCCGGTAGCCCAACCCCACCCAGCCACCCCGAAAACCCCACCCAACCAACCCAAACACTCCAGCCACCCCAAAAACCCCACTCCTACCCCGAAAACCCTACCCAGCCACCCAAAAATCCTTACCCTCACCTCAAAAACAACCACCCAGCAACCCCGAAAACCCCATCCCCCACCTCGAAAACCCCCTTCCTACCCCGAAAACAACCACCCCCGATGAATCAGCTCATTTATGTTATATCAAAAGAACTTTACAACAAGAAAAACATGGTGAATTGAGTAAAAACATCAACCTCATAATGACTGGTTGCCGGAAAAAGGGAAGGCAAGGGGGGCAGGGGGATGGCCGTTTAGGCAAGGGCGGCGGTCAGGCGGGGAGAAGGATGGTCGTACAGGCGGGGCAGCTGGGGCAGGGAAGGGGCTTTTTTTTTTTTAATTAGTTTCTTTTTTAATTATTATTTTTGGTTTTTGTTTTTTTTTAATTATTTTTTAAAAAATAGGACCAATTGGAAGGTGACACGTGGCAAGTCACCTTCACAAACCAGTTACCATTTTTAAAAACCGATTAAAGGCTTGTTTTGAGAAATAGGGAGCAAAGGTGGGATTGTTCCCAATTAACGCAAAGGTTGGCTCGTTTTGAGCAGATCGAGCAAAGGTGGGATTATTCTTTTCAATTTTTCCATAAATAAATATAGCATCATTGTACAGAACCAGACTACAGTAACTGATGCTCCCTTACTAGCCATCAGGGGCATCTAGGCATCTTACAAATAAAGGCCATATGAATAACTTCTGCTTGTACACCAATTAAGAATATAGGAAACTCTTCACAGCCATTAACATATAAATGTAAAAGCAGCCTACAATCAAATCTAGTTTAGGTCTCCCATTTCTATAAAGCCTTTTCTACGTCCCAACAAAGAGTAACGTTTTTAAGATTATTTCAATGATATAGAGCATTTCTTACCTTTCAAAAGGAACACTTTTAGTCTATAGAGCTTTTTTTAGAGCTTACAAAAATCATCAGGAGTGGTGACAAGTAAAATCCTTGATGTTCTAATTCTCACTCCTTTCCCCACCCCTGCACAATACAAGACCACAATATCCATTTCCTACAATCTCACTTCCTAGGAATATTCTTATTGTGCAAAAACTATAGAGTGGATTATATTTGTATTGCGAGAGTGGAATATCAATAGTGACAGATTTTGTATAAAAAAGCAATAAGTTGGCCCGTTCAGAAACAGCTTGCTCATGCCACTGGCCAATAGTAATGTACATATAAGTGATATAACACAAAGAATATTCCAGAGACATACCTTCATCTCAGTAGGATAAGAAGGCTGACTGATGTCTTCAAATTGTTTCAAATTAGAATGCTCAGGATGACCAGGTGCCGGGGAATCAAAATCTACTGAAGTCACATTACTTGATCCCTCCATTTGTTGCGTTTTTGATTTGCATGTTTCAGGAGATAATGGCACATCAGATGCAGATTCATCATTCGATTTTCTTGAAGGTCTGGGATAACTAGCATTGCCATTAGCACTTGTCTGTTTAGTTTTTTTACTGCTAGGTGCTGCGCTGCTGTAATTGGCCTTTTCATTGCCAGGCGTCAACTCTTTCTGACAACTCCTAAGATTAATGATAAAATGTTTATCCGAGCCAGCACTTTCAGAAGGGGCGCGAGTCTTCTCCTTGTTACCACCATTAACAATATAGTTTGAACGCTTTTCAGAATTTGACGTCATTGAGGAATCCTAAAAGAGAAACAAGAGTTTAAATACATAGAGCAAGCACCAGAAGCAAGGCTATTGGTCAGACCTTCACAAGAAAGGAATAAGCCCTGCAATAAATAGCTAGAAGCCCAAAGATGGCGCCTTCCTCGATTATGACATATACCCACAGCTCATACCATCTGTTTCCAGATAAAGATCTTATGGCTCAAACAGTTGCCTTAATTAAGGGACATGAGGCTTAACATCAACGTCAAAGATAACTAAAAGCCAGAAAATGAGAAAAGGGCCCTGTTTAGCAAATCATTGATTGCAAATAAGAGGTGACCAATTCCACAGTCTAGTTGGGGATCAGATTCCATCAACTGATTGTTCATATTTCACACTTCTAAGTTTCAATCCCAGCACCTTGGGAGTGTGGACAGAAATCCTATTGCTAAAAGACAACCACCACCAATAACTATGTAAGATTAAAGGAAAATAGCTTAAATCAAAAAGCTATTTCTGATCACAACCTCAAATAGAACAATCCCCACCAACCATCTAACCACCAACATGCTAAGAAATAGAGGATAGAGAAAAGGAAAATATTGCACGAAGGAAATTAAAATTGTATGGAGAGAGACAGAGCTCAACTTTAAAAAGAGATAAATAAATGATATAGCCACTAAATACTGAAATTTTTTTGGTTGAAACATCATCTCAGGGGTTTAAGAAAAAGCTTACCTGGGAAGAATGAATCCACTTGCCACTACTCCACTCCATGTGGAGCCTCAAATCTGCATGAGACAGTTCCTTTTCCTTTTTTGTTCGCTTAAAGTAAACTATGTACCTTCCGTCTGCAAGAATTTTGGTCACCACCCCACTCAACCAACGATAATCGTAAAATGCGTCCACTTTCTCCAGTAAATTGAAAGCTTTGTTACTCGAACTAGGAGGTGAAGGTCTAATATGATCAGAATCTACAGCTACTTTTTGAAGTCCGACTTTTTTTGAGCTTTGATACTCCACCAAGAACAAGTTATTAGCAGCTTGTTTAATGAAAGTTGCAGGGAACCAAACATCACACGGACTATCTGGATCAATGTTCACTTCTACAGCTGTTCCTGGGCTAAAATTCAAATCCCTCATTCTCTGTCAAGAATAAGAATCAAAAGGCCAGATCAACCACCAAGCTTGTAGATGTATGGATAGGAGAAGACTTAAAATTGTGAAATGAGCTGCACAGAAGGAGAAGACTTGTGAAAGAAAAACCTTAGATGTAAGTCATATTCCAGAGGAGGCCATGCAAAAAAAAAAATGACTTATATCTAGTGCTGGCAAAAGTTAATCTGACACGGTAGCAAAACACAAACCGAAAACGTAAAAATCGGTTAGTGTCGAAATTTTCAGGCCAAAATTGGCACGACTTTAACCGCTCAACTTAAACGTATAGAAAATTTTACAATTTATGTATTTTCTTTAAACGTTTAATATACTACTAGTCTACTATACTAGCAAGTTAGGGGCTAGCCAAACCTGAATTGATGAGAGGGGAAATGTGAAATGACAAATCGGGCATAAGAAATTGATTTAGTGTGTGTTTCTTGAATCACTAACTTAAATTAGGTAAAAAGGGTCCATACTCCTAACGGAAAAGGTAAGTTAAAGTCTCAAGGATTCTAACACAATTGAATTAGATGGATCGGGTTAGTGTCAAGGGTTTTCAACATTCTAATAAAGGCCTTCAAGTGAATTTAGGCATACAACAATCAGGGATGAGGAGTGTAAAACCAGCTTACATTGTGATCCCCTAACACTTTCTGACTAGAAACTAAATCAGTGCTCCAAATATCCATGACCAGCTTGGGGTGGGGGACGAAGAAAGATAGATCTCGTCCTAAGGAATTTGTCAAAGAGCCCTCTTCCATCAAAAAATTTAGAATCTAAAATCAAAATTTTGCCAACAAACCACGTTATTAGATTCAAAACATTTATATTACAATCTTCAATCACAAAAAAAAAATTAATCATGAAAATTGCAAAGCCAAATTAAAAAGCCATAGATCAAATTTTAAGTAGGTGGCAAGCAACAAACAAAGACCAATACAGTAATTCTAAGTCAATTGAATTTCACACAGCAATTTTTCGGAGGTATAAGCAAATAAGGTCATCCAGCACATTGCCAACCACAGATTTGCAAATTGGAGGAAGTAGAGAAGCTTGACAATTTTTCTAAGAAAACATTCACATCACGCATCCATGCAGGGCTGGACATAAGAAATTGACATGTTCAGGGACCAAAAAAGGATAATTGGGCAAATTTTATGAAGTACCTGATTAATGTAATTTTATGAAATATCCAAATTAATATCCCAAAAGACTCCTCCACTAGAGTGACGCTACCATTAAGCTAAAAGAATAGCTCGTTGGGCCCTAAATTTATAATTACTATCGGCAATCTACAGTAACATTAAAAAGGACAGCACAAATTATAAAGCATTCATTAAACCAAAACAAACAAAAAGGAACAAATGTCCTCATTTCTCCAACCAAATCGTAAAACATGTAGCAAATAAATTGCAACAAATGAATACTCTCAGGCTCTCAGCAGAATTTGCAACATATTCCATATCAGTCAATCATAGCTAGCTGATTTCCTACCCATAATTTAGGTAGAGCAACAAGCTTCCGCTCTAAATCGAACTGAAACCTCACACAAATGCAAGAACTCACGAGTAATTCAGAAAGCAAAAACACAATTACCACAGGTCCACAACAAAGCCCTGAATATGACGAAACTCGGACAATTCCAACCACTGCCACTAAAAAGGCAACAACAGAAGACTCCCTAGAGCTAAATTTCCAACAAAGTCCATAAATCAGTCTTCCTAACCATAATAATATAACTGTAAACTGTAATCAAAAAATTGAGCTGAAATCTCAGGGACAATCCACAAATTGAAGAGCTCGAGAACAATTAAAAGACCCCAATTAAAAAAAATCCCTCAATTAAACCCTATAAAGAAACAAACCCATAAAATTAAAGCAGCCCAGATTTAAAATCTGACAAAAAAAACAAAACCCCAAATTAGGAAAACCCTAAAAAGCAAATTGATACCTGCTTTTGAGGGAGAACCCAGATGCCATGGACCCAATTCTTATGAATCCTAAGATCAGGAGCATCAAATTCTATCTCATCAGGCGGACTGGAGAAGAAAACTCTGTACCTATTTTGCGAAACAATACAAGTGACAACACCACACCACCATCCATCTTGATAAAACGCATCAACAACGTCGTCTAAATCGAAAGAAACCTTATCATTCTCATCAACAGGAGGTTTAGGTCTTACGAATTCGGAATCAACAAATTCCTTCAAAAGGGAAGAACCATTTTCATCGGACAATAAATTCTTGTACTCGACAAAAATCTGTTCTTGTTTCTGCTTTGATTGAGGAGGTTGAATGACAGTAGCAGAATACCAGGCACCCTTGAAACCTTCTTCGTCGGAAGTAACTTCGACTTGGGATCCGAGTGAGAAAAAGGGGTGAATTTGATTTGGATTTGGGAAATGGGGGAGTGAAGAAGATGTAGTAGAAGTAGAAGAAGAGGGAATGAAAATGGGGGGTTTTCGTAGGTTTTCGAGACGTTTGGTTTTGGATTTAGGTTGCATTTTTCTTTTCAATTTGGGGGAAAACTAACTGAAAAGGGGTAATTGGTCATTATTTCACTCTCTCACTCCTCCTTTGTCCTTGCATTTTACTCCGTAGGCCGTAGCACAAGCTGCTTTTTTCCTTAATTTTTTTCGTTAATCTTGTTTTGGCGGGATGTAAGTGCATTAGATTTTTTTAGAAAATCAATCTTGTGACCTCGTTTGATTTTAATGGATATGTCTGTAAAATTGTAAAGTTATTGAATCGACGGAACAGCAACGAGTTGTATTCAGTCAGGATCCACCAAGATCTAGATTCAAATCCGTAGTTTACAAGTGGATCTGCATTTGCAAATTCGAAATTTACATATTTATAGTTGGAATTGTATCCGAAGTCACATGAACTTTTTTTACGCCTTCAAAATATCAAATTTCGGACACTATATTTGGAATTGTATCCGAAGTCACATGAACTTTTTTTACGCCTTCAATATAGAATGGTACTCATCAGCTTTTTTTTTTCCTCAATGGTAAACACTAAAATATCAAATTATATTTGGTAATCTATAATTTGTAAAACTAATTATGTGGTAACATTAGTTAAGCATTTTAAGGACATATTAACCATTGTTAATGTTTTAAAAGGGAGGGGAAAAGATAAATGCCTAAAATACCCCTTTTAACAAAAACCCACCACCCACTTCTTCCCCCTGCCACCCCTGCCTGCCCAGCCCAATTCCCTTGCTCTCGGCCAGCGCCGGCCACGCCCACCAAGATCCCCTCCCTGGCGCCGGCGCCAGTGTGACACCCCCAAATCTCCCTCTACGAAAATACTAGTATAATACGTATAATTAAACCGTAGAGATAGACTTAGACGTATTACCGCCGCGTGATTACGCAAGACTACTCAAACTACTATCCAAAATCAATACTTTGCAACGGAAATTCAAACTCTTTCTTTATTAACTATAATTATAAATAGAAACCATTGTCATGAGTACTCATAATAAACTAAGACCAACAATCCTAATCTAGGTGAAGAACATTCCCGGGACTCCCATATGCTCAATTCTTGACTCCACCTGAAATTAGTCAACACTGCTTACCATTACGGTAAACAGGGTGAACCAAAACTTATAAGAAATACGGGTTAGCAAAATATGCTAAGTACGATAAGTGCAAGTGATGCGTATTTTTGACAGTTTATATTTAGTGAAAGGATTTGATTGATTTTAATGGTGGAAATTTGAAGGATAGTCTTAGAAGGCAACGACTTCTAAGTTTGATCTTAGGAGCAACGATCCTAAAACCCTAGTTAACAACTAGTTCGAACCTTAACAAAGTTCTCTTCGAGTTAAAACTCAACAATCTGATTTTTATTTCATAAACGTCCTACTATAATTGTTGATATGAATCAAATATATATAGGAAAATTAAATCTAACCTACTTGCCCTGCAAGCAACCTAAATAAAAAGCTCTAATTATTAATTAATGAAATAAGAGAGCTCACTAATTAATTAACACGACTTTGGAAGCCTAAGGCCCCATAACTATTATTAAGAAAATAATTAAAACATTATTAAAACTCACTTGTAAAACCCCTACTTTAAGAGTAAGGTAAAACCAAAAGAGTACCTAAATAAAACAATAAAAATAGTTATTAGAGAGGGGACTCGATTCACATCAGCAAAATAAGTAAATTCAATTTATTTGCATACATGCTTTTAAAACCAATTCCAATAATTAATCCAATGAACTCCAAAACTCATTATTTCAAATCAATTCTCAATAATTCAATAATTCGACGAAACGATTTATAAAACCAATTTCTCTTTTGAAAACCAATTCCTCATTTGAAAACCAATTCTCAAATATCCTCAAAATAATTCCAATAACTCAATAATAATGATTAATAAAATCAATTATTTTCGAAAACTCAACCTACTCACTAAATGTGCACACCCCCCAAGCTAGTCTCCTACTATTTCAAGGTTATTCTGAGAGAAAGACTAGGTCATACAAACTCCATAGTCTTCAATGAATCTGCATAGTGGGATTAATATAATAACCATGCTTGTAAAGCGTTTTAATAAATAAATCAATAAATCCTCATAAAATTCCTCTTTGAATGAAAATCAACCTTTATAATAGGTTAACTCAAAACTCCTCTTTATTTTATTCAACATGCTTTCGAAATCAACCTTTTAATAAATACTTGAGAATTAATTCTCATATTAATAACTTTTCAAAATCAATAACTCTTCCTTTGATAAACCTTTTTAAAAATTCTTTAAAACAATACAACATACTTTTTAAAACCAAATTCCTTTAAAAATAAATAATTTCAAATCATTCAAAACATAATTTTAAAATCAATCCTTCAAAAATACATTTATTAAAACAAATATTAAAATCAATTCCTCCGACCATACTTTATTTCATAAATCATAGTTCAAATCAATTTAATTCAATCACCAATAAAACACTAATAGAAATAGGCCGTTTTCCGACGGAATTGTTCCGACGGACATAAATTCCGTCGGAAAATTTGAGTTTTCCGATGGAATTTGGGTCTGTGTGAAAATTCCGTCGGAAAAGGTAAGTTACGACGGAAAATCCCTCGGGAATATTCCGACGGAATTTTTTTCCCTCGGAATTTACTGCTTCCGACGGAATATTTCGTCGGAAGCTGTAAATTCCGAGGAAAAAAAATCCGTCGGAACATATACATTTCTAACGGATTTTTACCATTTCCAACGGAATTTTGATTTTTAAAAAAAAAATAAAAAAAAAAAAATCCTAACCCTAACTCCCCCCCTTTACACTCCGCCTCTCTTTCCTCATTTCTCTGTCCTCTCTTCTTCTCTTTCTCTCTCCTCTCTTCTTTCCTCTTCTCTTTCTTTCTCCTCTCCTCTTTCCTCTATGTTTTCTTCTATCTTCTTTCCCTTATCCTCTTCTGTTTTCTTCTCTCTGTCGCCTCTTTTGTCTCTCCGTCCTCCATTTCTCAAGCCAATCAATAACGAACAACAACGGCTACCGTCAACAACAACAACCACAACCACCATCAACAACCACAACCACCGTTGACAAAGACCGACAACCAACATCCACCACAACAACAATGGCGCAGCAACAACCAAGCCTGCAACCACCGTCGCGAGCCACCAGTCTCAAGTGTAGATCTAGTTGATTTTGTATGTAATTGTAATGTTAGTTTATATAATTTATTAGACAATTGTATATATATATATATATATATATATATATATATATATATATATTTCTATTAATTCCGTTGGTTAATTATCGTTTTTTTTTTAATTTTTTTAATGAAATTCTGATTAATTAGTAGATCTACTGGTTTTGATTTTTTGTGTGGTATGTTTTGATTATGTTGTGTTAATTTTCGTATTTTTGGGTTAATTTTCGGTTTTTTTGGGACTTTTCGTTTTTCTGGGGTTGATTCCTTTTTTGGGGTTTTTTTTGTGTTAATTTCGGTTTTTTGGGTTCATTTTTGGAATGGTGGTGGTGTGTGGTGGTGTCGGTGGTGATGTAGTGGTGACGGTGGTGGTGTGTGGTGGTTTCGGTGGTGGGTTGTGGGATACGGATTGTGGGTAGTTGTGGGTTAGGGGCTGTGGGTTCAGGTAAGGGGGGTGGGTTCAGGTAAGGTAGGTGGGTGGGTTCAGGCTAGGGCTGGTGGTGGGTGGGTTTTTTTTTTTTTTTTTTTTTTTTTTTTTTTTTTTTGTTTTTTCTTATAAAAGCTTCCGACGGAAATTTCCGTCGGAAGGTAGTAGATTCCGACGGAATTTTCCGTCGGAAAAGGTATATTCCGACAGAAAATTCCGTCGGAAGCTTGGCTTGTTACGACGGAATTTTCTGTCGGAACCTTGCGACGGACTTCCCAATTAAGTCAAACTTGACTCCGACAAAACATAATCCGTCGGAAAGGTCCATTCCGACGGAATTTCCGACAGAATATCGCGAAATTCCTACAAAGTGTAATGCGACGCTGCTTTCCGACGGAATTTCAAGGTTTTTCGACGGATTTTTTCCGTCGTTGATTGACTGTTTTCTAGTAGTGAAATCATATAAAACATGATATCCAAAGCAATCACTTTCAAAGGTATCTAGGCACCTAAACGTACCTTGATTCTGAATATCAATCAACACTTCGTACTTGCAAAGTTCAATCACGAATACACCTTGCAATAATTAACATAACCATAAGGTTATCACAACATCTTTAGACATAAACCCAAATCTAATGTACATGGATTATAAAACTCTTTTAAAAATAATACTTTAATATAAAATTATAGCTTTGAAATAGGTATTTATATTTTAGAAAACTAACCATGAAGAAAATAAAGGAATAGGATTAAAGAGAAGTGGATTTGCGTTGGAAAGAAAAGGCAGAACTTGCAGAGGCCATAACTCTTTCAATATAACTCCGAATTGGGTGATTCTTGAGCCTAACCTTAAGGATTTGCAAAACCCCAAAACTGACCAGAAGTGCCCGAAAATTGTCTCTAAAGATATCCGGCTGATTTTTAGAAAAGAGGAGAACAAAAGTAAAAAAGAAGAGTAAGAGAGAAGAAGAGAATTGAGTTTTTTGGTGTGAAGAATATGAGAGGTATGAGGGGGTATTTATAGGCTAACTCATGCAAGAATTATGGTAGAAGAATGTAGGAAGAATTATGGTAAATTGGTTTAAGGAAATTACTTGGAGAAGAGAGCTAAAGAATTAAGGAAAGTCTAAGTTATGGTGATTAAGTAATGAAGAAATAAGGTAAGTATGTAGTCATGAAATATTAAATGGTAAATGGCTTTGCTTGGGGAATAATTAAGAATGATTTAAGGTAGGGAAATAAGATGATCAAATATTTAGGAGATGAAAAATAAGAATTAAGGAAAATAATAGAATTGGGGAAGATTATTAAAATACAAAAATTACCAAAATAATTTTGCTCAAAATACAATATGGTGGCCGAAAATTTGAGCTTTCCTAAGCTCATATTTTCGGACCTCCCTTTAAATACTTGGGCAATTATTTTGCTAGTTTTTAAGGAATAAAAATGATTGTGTAAATAATATATTTTGTATAAAATAATTAATTAGAAACATACCAATTATTCACAAATTAATTTTACTAAGAAAATCAGATTTTCTACACTTACAAAATCCGAAAATCCTAGCTAATTAATTAGGTTAATTCGGCCCTTTTAAATTAAATAAGAAAATATAATTTTACTTAATTAAAATATCTGAA